GGTTTTCCACAGTTCCAATTCGCAGAGAAGATTAATTCTTTCCTAAATCTATGTCCCCAAAATGAAGTTATGTTATCGAGCATTGTTAAAAACAAACCAAAATGGGAAAACTCGTTTCAACCACAGCTACATTTACCTCGCAGAATAATAAAAAACAGCTTCGGATTTTGAATTAATATTCAAATATTTCTAATGAAATTGTTAAAATTTAAAAATTAATTTCTCACAACGTTGGAAAATATAATAAACACATCATATAATAATATTTTCTCTTATACAATTACAAAGACACAAGCACACACACATAAACACTTAAAGATTCTTTTTCAAACGGAGAAAGAAAGAGAGGAAGACAGAAACATTCTAGGGTTTAACAATGTTTTCATGGATTGTTTCTATCTGCACTCGATACAAAGTGAAGAAATTTCAGATGGTATTTCGTTTTTAAAAGTAGTTCCGTGAAGCCAACGATGACTAAGCATTTATTTATCATTGGCCACCAAATCTGTTCAGAGTTTAGCGGAAATGAGAAGAAACTTCTCCCTTATTTGAAAAGGTCAAGTCGAAAGTGCGTCGGCTCAAAAACTGGTGGGAAGGCTGAAATGTCAAGACCACCGCTGACTTTTTCTACGTTTCTTTCCTTATTTTTTAAATCGATAGTCAGCTTTAATCCGATGATGTCAACAAAACAACAGTCAGATTTATGCATCGATTCAATTACAGACTTTTATTCAGTAATTTCCAACCTTTACAATATCTTATTTCAACATTCTATTAAAATATTTTCTTACATCGATATGCAAAATTTTAAATAAACAAATATTGGAAGATTAAAATTGTTATTTTTACTCACAAGGCCTCATTTTACGAATTCATTTTCAACTAGCAACCAATGAACGAAAGTTTAAACTAGGTACCTCCACTTTTTCGCGGGAAAACAGCATAGCATAATGAAAAAGGCCACAAACTTAATAAAAACAAAGTTTTATCGTCAAAATGTTTATATTATTATTAAGATGGAAGACCAAAGTATTTTTTGATTACTTTTTGAAATTTTTTAATCCTTTCTAGCATCTTCGAAATTTTGATTCAAAATTTTGTTTTGTTTACGACATCGGGGGCATAACAATTACAATCATTTTTTTCGCGGATTTTTTGCCCGTGAAAATACATTGATTTGGAAAGTCTTCCAAAAATCGAATAATTGTCAAATTTTAATTTTTCAGGACTTATTCAAAAATTTGTGGAATTATTTTTGAATTTTTTTGTTTTAGAAAATTTTGGATAAAAATTTTTTTTTTTTTTTTTTTTTTACATATGTTACCCACCACTTACTTAATTTTAAAAAAAAAAACAAAAACAAAACAAAAAAAAAACTTTCTATTTCCTGAATTTTTTATTAGTTAAAATTAGGACTCCTTGGAGGATGTAAATTATCTAATTTTGTTTTCAAACTTTTACTATTCTAACTGAAAATCTGCTCTGTGTGAAGTCCTTACAGCCTTCGCTCGCTCCTCGCTGCTTCGTTCGGGTGTCGCCGCTCCAAACGTGACGTCCGCTTGTCTGCGTCAGTCGTGTTGTCCCGTCCTGTGACGACCAACTGGCTTGGTATTGGTCGCGGCACCCAAATGTGATGTTCTAACCTTTTGGTGATTCGGATGGGAATCTCGTCAGATCCGATATCAGCCTCGTCGTTCCCAACTCGCTTCCAACGTCTGGTTATCAAAGTAACTGCGTTGATCTCCAGTCCGCCTACCCACGTTGTGAATTGATCTTAGACAGACGAAATCAATCAGTCGTTGGGGCCGTAATGCAAGTTGAGTTCAAATGAGGGTGGTATCGCACAAATATGTGTAAAAGAAAAGAAAATAATAACTCAAAAGTTCAAGGTATAAAAAAAAGGATAATACTTTATATCTGGTTGCTGGATACATAGGACTGCGTCCAACTCCCGACCCGTTATATGGATTGTGACACGTTGTTTTTGTTAGGTGAGTTTTAACATCTTAAGTTGTCTGTTCTTTAAGAAATTGGTTCTTGGTGTGTCTTCAGGCGATAGTCGTAAAACTTATTTTGGTGGTATGGATCTAAGTCGCTCTTCAAAAATAAATTGTTCTTGGATTGAAGATGAGTTCGGAAGTTGCGCGAATCTTACAAGTCAGCTTTGCGAGGCCCACTTCAACTGCGAATTGGAAGCTGATCCAAACTGGACTGAACTGGGGAAACTCTTTCATTTTCGCTTGCTGCGACTTTGCTTATATGGACGCCGACCAAAACCGGTGTGGGCTTTGTTGGGGTTTGAGGTTCCTTGATAATTCCAAATGCACAATCCCCTTCTTTTTGTTTTCGGTCAGGAAAAATTTATTATTTCCATTTTTGAAGTCTTCTCTACCCCCTACCTTCAGAGGGCGTCAACGATCCTCCCACTTCTTCGCAGTAACATCTTATACCCTATCCTCTCTAAGGAGTAGTAGCAGCCTCCTCCCTGCATCACATGATCACCTCCGCGTGGCTCTCGTTAACATTCATCCAATGGTCGATCAACAGTGTGGGCGTGACCAGACTAGCCTTGTTTCTTAAAAATATATCTTGCTCAAAAAAAAAAGAGTTATCTCCTTTTTTTTTTTTTTCTATTTCCTTTCCTTCTTTTCTTTTCTATTCTCTCTTCTTCTCTGGCCGCCAACAGAACAATGCGACCAGTAGTGTGATAACCTCAATTCTCATCTGGACTTCGTCAGTCAGATTTTCGCCAATTATCAGAGTGGGTGGTCGTCCAGCAAATACGGCCAACCTCTCCGATAATATTGTTTCGCTTTTATAACAAAACCCAGACCTTGTCTAACGATATCTTTCCCTCGACAAAGACTTAACCTATTTCCCTTTGTTTTCTTTAGCTCGTGGGTGGTCAGGCAGTCCTGTGACACAGTTAAATGTTTATCTATTCTGTTCCGGAGTTTAGCTAGCCGATCTAGAATTTGTCAATTAGATTTTCGCCAGCACCAAGTGGCTGTTATCTATTCCCGATAATATAAGTCCGCCACCACGACACAGTCAATTTTTATCTATTTAGAATTTTCTGCAATGGCAATGAAACCTTTCACCATTTGTCACTATCAAAATTTCATTTCTTTCCTTTCTTTTCTTCCTTTTCTTTGCTTCCCAAATGGTGTCACATCTGAATAGTAAACTAAAAAAATGAAATCAAACTATGACATTATTTAATTAGAAAAGCTTTTAATTGCTTTTGTAAATAAGTTATATTAAGGACACTATTGTCTGAAGAAATAAAATTTTTTCGATGAATAATGAATTTTTACAAGAATGTTTTCCTTTTTTTTTAAATATTAATTATAATAATATATAATAGTTTAAAAATCGTTTAAACTTTCTGTATTGCGCTATTTCCTGGATTAAGTGGAAACGAAATTCACGAATCTAAAATTGAAAAGATTAATAAACGTCGTTTTAACATTCTATTTTTAAAACAATTTTTTATTTTTCACTTTAATTGTTCCCTTTTATTCATCTATGATCGCCTAAAAATATCATTATTATGAAAAGGTTACATGCTTGGATTGAAGAAAATAGAAAAATGTTTTTAGCTAATGTTAATTAAACTTTATTAACTATTAATGATTAAACGATATTTTAATTAATATAAAAATATTCCCAGATCAATGTGTTAATTTTGTTGCTTACTTATCTTTATTTTAATTTCATCTGTTAATAAATTTTAAAATTAATATAAGAAAATTTTATAAAACTTAATTTTTTTTATAAAGCATCTTCAAATGTAACTAAAAGTCTGTAAAATATTAGATAATTGATGAATATAAATTAATTTGTAAAAATTACTAGGTAGTTAAAAACTAAAAAAAAATGCGTTCACTTTGATTTCGTTAATTTATGTCAAATCTGGTCATCCACAACAGCTGTCATAATCTCAGAACTTATACGTCAATAAAGATCAAAGAAAATCAGGACCCGTTGTTAAGAAATGCTTGTATATTACTTTTTTATGCTATAAATAAGTAATATTTATTTCAAATCAGATAATTTAAATTTAAATTTGCTAATTTTACTCAAATAACTTGTCACAAATATATATATTTTTTTATTTTTGCAAGATTTTTAAAACCGATAATTTTGTTTTGTTTACAAATTGCTTAAAATTAAGAAAATGGCCGCTTTTAAGAATATTTTCATAAATCGAACAAATATTTGACATTCCAATCTATATAATTTCTAATCGAATTACACCCGAATATTTTACTCAATGGAAATAATAAATTTAATCATTTAGCTTTCAATTAAAGCTAAAATGAATGCTTTTTCATAAAAAAAAAATCATTTTAAACCTTAGCTATTGAAAATTTATACTGAATTAGAGGAGGTACCTAGTTTAAACTCTTATAATAAACCTTCCACCTCATCTGCGATCATATAAAACACGCAATATAATTATCATCTGAATATTGTTTAATCCACAGTTTAAACGAGGCGAGAAATAGAAGAAAAAGCATTCTTAATTCCAAAGCAGTAGATATAATGGATGCTGTGATATCAACCGAAGAACATATTTTCATCATATTGGTTATTATGGCAGATAAACTAGGAAAAAGGCGAAAGAGAAAATAGTGTAGTAACTAACATAGCTCAAAGACTTCTAGAGTTCTAGCATACTGTCTTTACAGATTATTTTTAATTTGCTTAAACGTCAATTATGGCTGCGATGGTTTGCCGAGTTACAAAGAAGATCAGCTTTGTGTTTTGAATAAAATTTGGTAAAAAGGTCACAAGGTTCATAAATTTGATTCTAGAATTTAAAAAATATATTAATGGTAATAATCCATAATAAAGTTTCCATTAGTTTAGGTCTAGATATAATGGGCTACTAAAGGAAAGCTCGAATGCAAGAGAGATAGAGGAAAAGAACGCATAAGCTACCAGAAGATCTTGAGTAAATAGCTGGTGGAGCGGGGTTTGGGAAAAGACCAAATTTATTTAGATACGAGGTACAGGAAAAGAAAAAAATGAATTGATCGACAAGGAACAGGAAAAGAGAAAACGTACTGAGCGACAAGGGACAGGTAAAGAGAAAAACGTACTGAGCGACAAGGACAGGTAAAAAAGAGAAAACGTACTGAGCGACAAGGGACAGGTAAAGAGAAACGTACTGAGCGACAAGGGACAGGTAAAGAGAAAATGTATTGCGCTACAATAGACAGGAAAAGGCAAAATGTATTGAGCCACAAAGTGCAGCAAAAGACAAAATGTTTTATGTTACACGGGACAGGTAAAGACTAAATTTACTGAGCCACAATGGACAGCAAAAAAAAAAAAAAATGTATTGAGTTACAAGGGACAAGAAAAGACAAAATATATTGGGCTACAAAGGGACAGGAAAGGACAAAATGTATTGTGCTACACAGGACCCGAAAAGACCAAATTTATTTAGATACGAGGTACAGGAAAAAAAAAAATGAATTGATCGACAAGGAACAGGAAAAAGAAAACGTACTGAGCGACAAGGGACAGGTAAAGAGAAAACGTACTGAGCGACAAGGGACAGGTAAAGAGAAAACGTACTGAGCGACAAGGGACAGGTAAAGAGAAAACGTACTGAGCGACAAGGACAGGTAAAGAGAAAACGTACTGAGCGACAAGGGACAGGTAAAGAGAAAATGTATTGCGCTACAATAGACAGGAAAAGGCAAAATGTATTGAGCCACAAAGTGCAGGAAAAGACAAAATGTTTTATGTTACACGGGACAGGTAAAGACTAAATTTACTGAGCCACAATGGACAGCAAAAGAAAAAATGTATTGAGTTACAAGGGACAAGAAAAGACAAAATATATTGGGCTACAAAGGGACAGGAAAGGACAAAATGTATTGTGCTACACAGGACCCGAAAAGACCAAATTTATTTAGATACGAGGTACAGGAAAAAAAAAAAATGAATTGATCGACAAGGAACAGGTAAAGAGAAAACGTACTGAGCGACAAGGGACAGGTAAAGAGAAAACGTACTGAGCGACAAGGGACAGGTAAAGAGAAAAACGTACTGAGCGACAAGGGACAGGTAAAGAGAAAACGTACTGAGCGACAAGGGACAGGTAAAGAGAAAACGTACTGAGCGACAAGAGACAGGTAAAAGAAAACGTACTGAGGACAAGGGACAGGAGAAAACGTACTGAGCGACAAGGGACAGGTAAAGAGAAAATGTATTGCGCTACAATAGACAGGAAAAGGCAAAATGTATTGAGCCACAAAGTGCAGGAAAAGACAAAATGTTTTATGTTACACGGGACAGGTAAAGACTAAATTTACTGAGCCACAATGGACAGCAAAAGAAAAAATGTATTGAGTTACAAGGGACAAGAAAAGACAAAATATATTGGGCTACAAGGGACAGGAAAGGACAAAATGTATTGTGCTACACAGGACCCGAAAAGACCAAATTTATTTAGATACGAGGTACAGGAAAAGAAAAAAATGAATTGATCGACAAGGAACAGGAAAAGAGAAAACGTACTGAGCGACAAGGGACAGGTAAAGAGAAAACGTACTGAGCGACAAGGGACAGGTAAAGAGAAAACGTACTGAGCGACAAGGGACAGGTAAAGAGAAAACGTACTGAGCGACAAGAGACAGGTAAAGAGAAAACGTACTGAGCGACAAGGGACAGGTAAAGAGAAACGTACTGAGCGACAAGGGACAGGTAAAGAGAAAATGTATTGCGCTACAATAGACAGGAAAAGGCAAAATGTATTGAGCCACAAAGTGCAGGAAAAGACAAAATGTTTTATGTTACACGGGACAGGTAAAGACTAAATTTACTGAGCCACAATGGACAGCAAAAAAAAAAAATGTATTGAGTTACAAGGGACAAGAAAAGACAAAATATATTGGGCTACAAGGGACAGGAAAGGACAAAATGTATTGTGCTACACAGGACCCGAAAAGACCAAATTTATTTAGATACGAGGTACAGGAAAAGAAAAAATGAATTGATCGACAAGGAACAGGAAAAGAGAAAACGTACTGAGCGACAAGGGACAGGTAAAGAGAAAACGTACTGAGCGACAAGGGACAGGTAAAGAGAAAACGTACTGAGCGACAAGGGACAGGTAAAGAGAAAACGTACTGAGCGACAAGGGACAGGTAAAGAGAAAACGTACTGAGCGACAAGAAACAGGTAAAGAGAAAATGTATTGCGCTACAATAGACAGGAAAAGGCAAAATGTATTGAGCCACAAAGTGCAGGAAAAGACAAAATGTTTTATGTTACACGGGACAGGTAAAGACTAAATTTACTGAGCCACAATGGACAGCAAAAGAAAAAATGTATTGAGTTACAAGGGACAAGAAAAGACAAAATATATTGGGCTACAAGGGACAGAAAGGACAAAATGTATTGTGCTACACAGGACCCGAAAAAGACCAAATTTATTTAGATACGAGGTACAGGAAAAGAAAAAAATGAATTGATCGACAAGGAACAGGAAAAAGAGAAAACGTACTGAGCGACAAGGGACAGGTAAAGAGAAAAACGTACTGAGCGACAAGGGACAGGTAAAGAGAAAACGTACTGAGCGACAAGGGACAGGTAAAGAGAAAACGTACTGAGCGACAAGGGACAGGTAAAGAGAAAACGTACTGAGCGAAAGAGAAACGTACTGAGCGACAAGGGACAGGTAAAAGAGAAAACGTACTGAGCGACAAGAGACAGGTAAAGAGAAAACGTACTGAGCGACAAGGGACAGGTAAAGAGAAAACGTACTGAGCGACAAGGGACAGGTAAAGAGAAAATGTATTGCGCTACAATAGACAGGAAAAGGCAAAATGTATTGAGCCACAAAGTGCAGGAAAAGACAAAATGTTTTATGTTACACGGGACAGGTAAAGACTAAATTTACTGAGCCACAATGGACAGCAAAAGAAAAAATGTATTGAGTTACAAGGGACAAGAAAAGACAATATATATTGGGCTACAAGGGACAGGAAAGGACAAAATGTATTGTGCTACACAGGACCCGAAAAGACCAAATTTATTTAGATACGAGGTACAGGAAAAGAAAAAAATGAATTGATCGACAAGGAACAGGAAAAGAGAAAACGTACTGAGCGACAAGGGACAGGTAAAGAGAAAACGTACTGAGCGACAAGGGACAGGTAAAGAGAAAACGTACTGAGCGACAAGGGACAGGTAAAGAGAAAACGTACTGAGCGACAAGGGACAGGTAAAGAGAAAACGTACTGAGCGACAAGGGACAGGTAAAGAGAAAACGTACTGAGCGACAAGGGACAGGTAAAGAGAAAATGTATTGCGCTACAATAGACAGGAAAAGGCAAAATGTATTGAGCCACAAAGTGCAGGAAAAGACAAAATGTTTTATGTTACACGGGACAGGTAAAGACTAAATTTACTGAGCCACAATGGACAGCAAAAGAAAAAATGTATTGAGTTACAAGGGACAAGAAAAGACAAAATATATTGGGCTACAAGGGACAGGAAAGGACAAAATGTATTGTGCTACACAGGACCCGAAAAGACAAAATTTATTGTTCTACAAGGGACAGAAAATTATGGAGAGCCACGATCGCCAACGCTCTGAAGCTATATATATATATATATATATATATATATATAAGTCGATCGATCGATCGACGATAGAGAGATAAAAAGAGTGAGAGAGGGGGTGAACGCTACAGATTACAAACCGATGAATGCTGTGAAGATACATAAAATTTAAAGGAATTTGAATAGATTAATCAATCTGTTTATTCGTCAACGTTCCCAATATTTTCTATGTCCCACTGGACATTTCACACATATGTCGAAGTCACTCAAGCAGGAAATACAGAAGCTTACGTTCTGATAATGTTTTTTTATTCAAAGAAGGTATTTCCCGATTTAAATCCTCTGAACATTTGCGAAGCATTACCTATGTATAGACCAGTGTAATTGTGTAATTGCATGTGTATAATTTTGCATGTGCATGTGTGCCTAGTGAGCGAAGGAGATGTCATATAGTACGTTTCTAGAAGTCTATGCCACTAAAACCTCGAAATTAAATGATATATTGATATGCTATGAAAATAGATATAACAGATTCAGTGAGAAATTTTCCTTTACATAAGTAGACTTAGCCATTTAAATCTGAACAATTCTAAGTGGGAGTTTGTTTTAATCTGATTTCTCATAAAGCTTTTGTTTCTTGTGGATGACGCACCTCAGCTCATCACTTTGGCATTTTGCTTAAAGAGAAAAAAATCTTCTTATCCAAGCAGCAACTTTAATAGCCTTTAAAAAGCAGAACAAAAATATTCCCCAATGTCTGTGGCTTGACCGTGATTCCACAATTATATTTTGCTTATTATCTGAGAAATTTTTAGTCGTGTCCTATATCATATGATAATATAGGGATGAAACAGTTTTTTGAAGAAAATACATTCTGGATCACAGCTTGCAAATATAACAAATAAATACCATCTCAGGAGTAATTGTTCTGAATATGACATTTCCAAATGTTGATGTAAGATGAAATTATGGAAAAATATGACGGAGTATTTTAAAGAATTTCAAGTAAGTAGCAACTACATAGAAACCAAGGACCCTTTTGCATATTATTCACTGATGTGTATGACGGGATTGAATACATTATGCATTATGTAATGATTATTAAAATGAATAAAAATTCAAAATTTCGTAGCTTTTGGGAAGATAATTTTTCCGTACGTGTGTATGCTTATATGTGTGAATGTGTTTGACTATAGACAGATTTGAATCAGTGCCTGTTTGTGAGAGTGGGCTAAGTGAATGTAGTGATTTTATTGACCCTGTGAGGATTTCTGGTTTGTGAAACTGTTACCCGACGCTGACATTTCAGTCAAATTCTTTCAAGAGTTATGCATCACGTGACACCTTTGTCGTACTCTTGACAAAGAGACGATCAATTAATCGATTACTGGGAATGGGGCTGAGAAAAAAAAAACCTTAATTACATATTTCACATAATCTTATGAATTGATAACGGTCGAGGAAAGGAAGCAACATATTCAAATGCAACAATATAATAAACAACAAATTTTGAATAAGAAAAAATAATAAAAATAGCAAGGAATGAAGGCAATGATCAGAAGGAAGGTATTCTGAAGAAAACCGATGAAGTAAATTCGTAGAATTAAATTTAAAAAAGATTCTCTCGAAGACAAGGGAGGAGGGAGCAAAATTGCGATATAAGAAAGACAGAAACAGACGATAAAACATAAAAAGAGACTAGAAGAATATATTAACATGAAAAATTAAGCATGGAAAGAAAAAGAGTAGAAATAGATCATAACGATTTAACCAGAAATAAAAAAAAAATGATGATTCAAGAAGACAGGGATAATTTAATAAAGTCTGGGAATTAAGGAGTCCATTAAATACTTGAACAAATTAAATTTAATTTCACGCTCTACTGTTGTATTTCTTGTTTATTCTACATAATATTTCCAGTGAAATCATTTGCCGAGGATTAACAATGACAGAGAAAGTAAGAAATAAAAAAATTATCAAGCAAACAATGCAGCAAAGAAAGAAAGAAAGAAAGAAAGAAAGAAAATACTACTACTACTACTACTACTACTACTACTAATAATAATGATAAATTCCTAAGGCTTCTTGTAAATAGAATTGCTTGTTTAGTCATTCTTCCTAGGAAGTCAACTGACTCAGAGACTTGTAATCTCAGCCAATGCGGTTGATCTGAATGCTTTGTAGGAATTAAGACTTTAGAAAAGGCTGACGAAGGAAGGAGAAACTAATGATTGTGTGGATGTACTTTATTGCTTCTCAATCCTGTAATTAATTAGATGAGGATATCGTCAACTGGTTAATGGAGAAAGGGCGAGTAATCTGGTTGGGTTTGTTTAAACCCAACCAGATTTGGAAGAGCGAAACAAAGAGTTAGTTATTCTGTGGTAGCATTTTTTTTTAGGGAAGAATATAAAAGTAAAGTAGCATCGAGTGGAAAATCTCATTATTAAAAGAAATGTAGTGAATGATGAAAAGAAAAAAGGAAATGAATTGAAAGTAGTTACAGAATGATACAAGAAAGTAAAAATTAATAAACACGCACATTTTTCCTTGTAAGGAAAAAATGCTATTCATTGCCCGAGCAGCCGTTATTACTGTCCGTTGAAATTTATAAAATCTTTCTCTTTTTTGAAGAAAATAGATTTCTCACGTCCTGTAGTTGTTATCGCTCTTTCTAGGACTGATGTGAGTTTCTTTCCTAACCGTTTCTTTGGAGTAGTGTGAAACGTTAATATCTTGATTATGTCATTATTTTCTCTTCGATTTATATGTGCTCTCCATTTTAGTTGTTGCTAATGATGAAAGTCCTCAAATGGTGTGATTTCTGTTACTTGAAACAATTCTTTGTAATTCTTTAGCACCAGTCCATGAGGTTCAAAGAAGAATGACCAAGGCCCACTCGCTCAAAGCTATTTTTAACCATTGATTTGAGAAAGCGGTTATATGCAGAAGACAGTTTAGATATTTCTGAATGAGTTTGACGCTATGCATGAATAAAAAACTCTCTATCTGATTTATTTAAGAACATTATTCGGATTTTCAGGTTAATGTTTTGGTTTTTGTAATAATTTCTGGTGTTGGGCGGAAGTAACTCTAACACATTCTATTCTATGTTCAAAATCTCCTATATTAAATTTGTTATAACTGAACCATACACCGAGGTATCTGAAGTATTTGACACTAATTCTACATCTTGATTTTTTATGAGGAATTCAAGGCATGTGTCATCATTGTTTTCATTTTAATTCTAAATCATAATTTCTGTTTTGGAAAAGTTTATCTTGAGTCCTGTTTCTTGGAACACTCTGTTAGAAGATATTGATCCTTCTTATCCCAACTATGAATACTTATGTTGTCAGTAGAGCACCCCCCGCCCACCTCATCATCAGTACATTCACCTCCGGGCGGGGGAGGAGGATCGCGGTCTTCTATTAGTAGATTTGTTTGGGATGTGGTATGGAATGCTTAAATGATAAGTACTCATCTCTTTTCACCTGAAAAGATCAAATAGACTGAGATCTCATTTCCCCCTTGTTGTACTTCTGATGATATTTGAAATGTTTCCGTATTAGGGTCCTCGCCAGACATGTAAGATTTTGTGAACCGATAAAGTTCCTTGGATCGATGCTTGGATTAAGACTGTTGTCTTAGAATAACTGAATTAAAAACTATATGTTAACAGATTCGGCACAAACTTTCTTGAAATGAGATTCTCATTTGAATAATAAAAGATTTGTAATTTAACAGAAGACTGTGTTTTAAACTGCGATCAATGGAAAACACGAAACTGTCAAAGTTTTCGAATACGCTGCTATATACGCGCTTGTCTTGTAGATATTTAAAACATTCTTACAGGAATTCAGGTGATCAATAAGAAAGAACAGAATAAAATAAGAAAGATTAAACACCTTCGAATCGTATGCTTGCTATTTTCTGAGTTTCAACTTTTCTTGATCCAATTCCACTAGAAGAAAATGTGATTTTTCATCCTATTAACTGAAAATAAGACTAAATATGACAAAATGAGGATAATGCTTATTTTCAAAGACAGCACACTGATCAAAATTGATGATAAGAGAAGCATAATTTAAATTTTGAATTTTAGACACTGTTACCTTACAAGCTTACTAATTTAAAGTGATGCATTTATTATTTATATTCTGCAGTGATGAAAGATTATACAAGGCCCATGCAGAAGGATTCAGTAGCAGTCCAAATGGAATATTAAGCATTTTAGTTTTCAGTACTCTCCGCTATTAATTTATATAGACATTTTCGTAATAAGATATAGTTGTATTCAATATATTCTGATTACTTTCTTCTCGTTAACTTATTAGTTTCCTTACGAATATTGTATAGCCATGATTTGTTCTCTACATATTACGGCACGCTGTTTAGTTATAATTATTATATGTGTTTTTTATACGCCAGCATTGTAGAATGAAGGGAATGTATTTAAATTAATCCTGTTTATGTGAGTTCTAACGATATGAAGAGAAATATAATTTAATAACTATTAGCTAATACAACTTACAATGAAACAGAAAGGAAGATACTGTGATTTTGATACAAGTAGTACAAAATACTTTCTACTGCCTAAGGTGTTAGAAGGATTCTTTTTTTTTAGTTGAAATAAGAAAAAATAAAAACAGAAACAATAAAATGTTTATATTAAATTTATAATACAATATCAGTCAATGGGATACAACAGTCACACTCCTTTCCCGATTGTGATTATTGTAACTTCGATTTCACGAGTCCAGAATAGGTAAGCAAACAAAATTCACCCGAACGAAGCATTCACAGATATAAAAGTTCATGAAAACTTTCTCTAATCACATCTTCCATGAATGATAATACAATTGTATCTGCTACCTTGAATGATTCTTGATCCTTGTATTGAGTGGTCTTCAGTAAAAAACAAACATATCGTAAAGTCGTGATTATTTCAAATAGATATGCATCAAAAACAATTCTTTATTTCCTACAGTGATAGTTTTTACTTATAACTGGTTTTAATTCTCGACATTGGCACTACTACACACATTCGAATGAAGATTCCCGGAGGAGAACATATTCATATATTTTCAGTATTTATTCAAAATGGCGCTAAAAAATAAGAATCTAATAAATTCATAAAAAATGAAAACATCTAATAAAACT